TGCTCTAAGTGCATAAAGCTGGCGGACTGTGTCCACAGTACCAAGGCTAGCGTCAACTTCCGGAGCGTTGCACTGTGGGTAGCTATCCCACAGTTGCCGCAGTCTCCGCCGCCCATTGGAATTCTGGGTTGAGATCCCAATGCCTGATGATGCAAAACAGTGTCGCGGGGGGTTCTGGGTACATGCCGTCAGGCCCCTCCCCCTCCGTCAAAGCAACAGCAGACAATGGATTCGTGCCTTTTTACCTGGGTTACCTGTGCAGACAGCATACCACGGCAAGCATGGAGCCCGCTCAGGTCACCATCACCATATGTCATCTGGGTGCCGGCAGACGTGGTACTGCATTGCTACACAGCAGCAGCTAATTGCCTTTTGGCAGTAGACGGTGCAGTATGACTGGTAGTTTTCATCGGCTATCTGGGTGCTGGCAGACGTGGGGCTGCATTGCTACACAGCAGCAGCCCCTTGCCTTTTGGCAGTAGATGGTGTATTACGACTGGTATCCGTCGTCGTCATACTCCAGTTCAATCAGAGGCACCTAGGCAGACATGCTTTGTCTCCTGGAGACTCAGTCCTGCCGGCAGTCCTATTGAACCGTCTTGACGATGATGGCTAGCAGTCATAGTACAGTATCTTCTGCCAAGCACCCAGAAGATGCCGAGGACTATCAGTCATGCTGCACCGTCTGCTGCCAGCTTAAGATGTAAAAAATAGATGTATTCATTTGCTTTCCCCCTCTCTCCGTGAAATCAGCGGCCTGCTAAACCCAGGGTTTTGAATTCAATCTTTGGGGGGGCCATTCTGTGTGACAGTTGTTTGTGTTTCTCCCTGATGCACAGCCACCTTTGTTGATTTTAATTCCCTGTACCTGTACGCCATGTCGTCACTCGCCCCTCCCTCCCTCCATCAGATACTAGTTTCACGCCTTTTTTCAGACCAGACGCCATAGCACTGGGATCATGGAGCCCGCTCAGATCACCGCGGCAATTATGAGCACTATGAACACCACGTGCGTTGTCCTGGAGTATATGCAGAGCCAGGACATGCCAAAGCAAAACCAGGACCAGCCGAGGAGGCGATTGCAGTGCGGCGACGAGATTGATGAGGAAATTGACATGGACATAAACCTTTCACAAAGTACAGGCCCCAGCAATGTGCAAATCATGGTGTTACTGGGGCAGGTTCATGCCGTGGAATGCCGATTCTGGGCCCGGGAAACAAGCACAGACTGGTGGGACCGCATAGTGCTGCAGGTGTGGGACGATTCCCAGTGGCTGCAAAACTTTCGCATGCATAAGGGCACTTTCATGGAACTTTGTGACTTGCTTTCCCCTGCCCTGAAGCGCCAGAATACCAGGATGAGAGCAGCCCTCACAGTTGAGAAGCGAGTGGCGATAGCCCTGTGGAAGCTTGCAACGCCAGACAGCTACTGGTCAGTCGGGAATCAATTTGGAGTGGGCAAATCTTCTGTGGGGGCTGCTGTGATCCAAGTTGCCAGGGCAATCAAAGACCTGGTGATATCAAGGGTAGTGACTCTGGGAAACGTGCAGGCCATAGTGGATGGCTTTGCTTCAATGGGATTCCCAAACTGTGGTGGGGCGATAGACGGAACCCATATCCCTATCTTGTCACCGGAGCACCAAGCTACCGAGTACATAAACCGCAAGGGGTACTTTTCAATGCTGCTGCAAGCCCTGGTGGATCACAAGGGACGTTTCACCAACATCAACGTGGGATGGCTGGGAAAGGTACATGATGCTCGCGTCTTCAGGCACTCTGTTCTGTTTCGAAAGCTGGAGGAAGGGACTTTCTTCCCGGACCAGAAAATAACCGTTGGGGATGTTGAAATGCCTATCGTGATCCTTGGGGATCCAGCCTACCCCTTAATGCCATGGCTCATGAAGCCGTACACAGGCAGCCTGGACAGTAGTCAGGACCTGTTCAACTATAGGCTGAGCAAGTGCCAAATGGTGGTGGAATGTGCATTTGGATGTTTAAAAGCGCGCTGGCGCAGCTTACTGACTCGCTCAGACCTCAGCGAAAAGAATATCCCCATTGTTATTGCTGCTTGCTGTGCGCTCCACAATATCTGTGAGAGTAAAGGGGAGACATTTATGGCGGGGTGGGAGGCTGAGGCAAATCGCCTGGCCGCTGAATACATGCAGCCAGACACCAGGGCGGTTAGAAGAGTGCAGCAGGGCGCGGTGCGCATCAGAGAAGCTTTGAAAACGAGTTTTGTGACTGGCCAGGCTACGGTGTGAAACTTCTGTTTGTTTCTCCTTGATGAACCCTCCGCCCCCCCCCCACCCGGTTCACTCAACTTCCCTGTAAACCAACCTCACCACCCTCCTCTCCCCCCTTCGAGCACCGCTTGCAGAGGCAATAAAGTCCTTGTTACTTTACATTAATGCAATCTTTATTAATTCATCACACAACTAGGGGGATAATTGCCAAGGTAGCCCGGGAGGGGTGGGGAAGGAGGGAAGGAAAAGGACACACTGCAGTTTAAAACTTTAAAACTTTAGCACTTATTGAAGGCCAGCCTTCCCATGCTCGGGCAATCATCTGGGGTGGAGTGACTGGGTGGCCAGAGGCCCCCCCACCGTGTTCTTGGGCGTCTGGGTGAGGAGGCAATGGGACTTGGGGAGGAGGGCTGTTGGTTACACAGGGGCTGTAGCGGCAGTCTCTGCTCCTGCTGCCTTTCCTGCAGCTCAACGATACGCTGGAGCATATCAGTTTGATGCTCCAGCAGCCGGAGCATCGACTCTTGCCTTCTGTCTACAAGCTGACGCCACCTATCATTTTCAGCCCGCAATTCAGCCCGCCACCTCTCCTCTCGTTCATATTGTGCTTTTCTGTGGTCAATCATTGACTGCCTCCACGCATTCTGCTGTGCTCTTTCAGCGTGGGAGGACATCTGGAGCTCCGAGAACATATCATCCCTAGTCCGCCGTTTTCTCCTTCTAATCTTCGCTAGCCTCTGCGAAGGAGAAACATTTGCAGCTGGTGGAGGAGAAGGGAGAGGTAGTTAAGAAAAGACACATTTTAGAGAACAATGGGTACACTCTTTCACGTTAAATTTTGCTGTTCATATTACACAGCACATGTGCTTTCGTTACAAGGTCACATTTTTCCTCTTATATCGAGGGCCTGCCGGTTTGGTGTGAGAGATCACTCACGCAATGCCAGGCAACAGATTTCGGCTTGCAGGCAGCCATGGTAAGCCACAGTCTTTTGGCTTTTTTAACCTTCTTAATGTGGGAATGGTTTCAAACAGTAGCGCCCTCATTTCCCATACCAAGCACCCCTTGGGTTGGCCATTTAAAATGGGTTTGCAATGTAAAAGGAGGGGCTGCGGTTTCCGGGTTAACATGCAGCACAAACCCAACTAACCCCCCTCCCCCCCACACCCAATTCTCGCGGATGATCACTTCACCCCTCCCCCCCACCGCGTGGCTAACAACGGGGAACATTTCTGTTCAGCCGAGCAGGAACGGGCACCTCTGAATGTCCCCTTAATAAAATCGCCCCATTTCAACCAGGTGACCGTGAATGATATCACTCTCCTGAGGATAACAAAGAGCGATAAGGAATGGATGTTGGACCATATGCTGCCATGCTTTGTTATGCAATGATTCCAGACTACGTGCTACTGGCCTGGCGTGGTAAAGTGTCCTACCATGGCGGACGGGATAAGGCAGCCCTCCCCAGAAACCTTTTGCAAAGGCTTTGGGAGTACATGAAGGAGAGCTTTCTGGAGATGTCCCTGGAGGATTTCCGCTCCATCCCCATACATGTTAACAGACTTTTCCAGTAGCTGTACTGGCCGCGATTGGCAGGGCAAATTAATCAATCATTAAACACGCTTGCTTTTAAACCATGTGTAATATTTACAAAGGTACACTCACCAGAGGTCCTTTGTGTGCCCTCAGGGTCTGGGAGCACGCCTTGGGTGAGTTCGGGGGTTACTGGTTCCAGATCCAGGGTGATAAACGTATCCTGGCTGTTGGGGAAACCGGTTTCTCCGCTTCCTTGCTGTGAGATATCTTCATTGTCTTCATCCTCATCTTCCTCGTACCCCGAACCCGCTCCCTGTTGCGTGATTCTCCATTGATGGAGTCAAAGCACACGGTTAGGGTAGTGGTGGCTGCACCCCCTAGCATCGCATGCAGCGCCGCGCAGAAACGGCATGTTTGTGGCTCTGCCCCGGACCTTCCGTTTGCCTCTCTGGCTTTGTGGTAGGCTTGCCTTAGCTCCTTAATTTTCACGCGGCACTGCTGTGTGTCCCTGTTATGGCCTCTGTCCTTCATGGCCTTGGAGACCTTTTCTAATATTTTGCCATTTCGTTTACTGCTACGGAGTTCAGCTAGCACTGATTCATCTCCCCATATGGCGAGCGGATCCCGTACCTCCCGTTCGGTCCATGCTGGAGCTCTTTTGCGATCCTGGGACTCCATCACGGTTACCTGTGCTGATGAGCTCTGCGTGGTCACCTGTGCTCTCCACGCTGGGCAAACAAGAAATGAAATTCAAACGTTCGCGGGGCTTTTCCTGTCTACCTGGTCAGTGCATCTGAGTTGAGAGTGCTGTCCAGAGCGGTCACAATGAAGCACTGTGGGATAGCTCCCGGAGGCCAATAACGTCGAATTCCGTTCACACTACCCCAATTCCAACCCGCTAAGGCCGATTTTTATTGCTAATCCCCTCGTCAGAGGTGGAGTAAAGAAACCGGTTTAAAGGGCCCTTTAAGTCGAAAAAAGGGACTTAGCCGTGTGAACGTGTCCAGGCTTAATTCGATTTAACGCTGCTAAATTCGACCTAAACTCGTAGTGTAGACCAGGCCCCAGTTATTGCATAAGGTGAGTATCCTCTCCTTTCTCCTATCAACAATCCTGCAAGTGACAAATAGGCTATCTACATATTTTGTCATCTGTCTATGCAAGGACAGTTTGATTTAGAATAGTGGAAAGCAGTTGCAATTCTCCCATTTATGATTTCAGGCTGATTTGGAGCAATACAAAAAAGCATTGACGGATGCAGGATGTAATCTTACTCCCTTGAACTACATAAAACAATGGAAGTAAGTTAATTTTTCTTCTTCATAAAACTGCAGGTAATTGGGGGGAAGTTGAAAACAGATACATAGACTACTGCAGCCAGGTTTAGTGGAAATTGTGTATTACTTTTAATGTTTAATGAATTGTGGTTCTTATATAATTTTGCTGTCTTTGATTTGCCAATACATGTGAACACTTCTAAACCGAACTCTAACATATGTGAGAATGGTATTAAACTTTATTTTAAACAATATACTTGATATGTTTTTCTTGACACAAATAAGTAATTTGCTGAAGGCAACTGAGTGACTCAGTAGCAGAGCCTAGTTTAAATTCAGAATTCCTGGCTTTCTGTCCTTGATTCAGTCTTGTGGGCCATCCTGCTGATCTATCTATGAAATATTAAATCTTGTAAAAGGAGAAATCTATCTTTCATCCATCCTCATCCTGAATTCTAGGTACTATACTCTAATTTGTTTGAGTGTCTAACCTATATCTCATTATCGCTATAGGCTTTAGATTGGCAAAAGCTAGGATATTATGAAAGGGATGCATTCAGTTTTTAATAAAAGGAGAGAGATGTTTATAGTTTGCCCAATTACCTGATGACAGATTTTAGAGGAAGAGCCATTTCCATTCTCAGATGGCCTTCCACAATGGTCTTCATAGGAAGAGAAGACGTAGTAGTGTAACTGTGAAAACAAATTAAGCACTTGATTATAACATTTCTTTCATAGGGCTTTTGCCAAGATGGCTTCAGCTCCTACCAGCTATGGAAATGTTACAGCTAAACCATTGGGGTAAGTTTTTTAATTCATCTACCAAAATTCCTAGTAAATCTTTTATTTATTAATTTAATAAATTTTAATTTTATAAGCACTGAGAGCATTCAGTAATAAATAACCTTTAAAGTGACTGTTTTTATCAGATTCCATGTAATAAAGCTGAAACTATAGTTGAAATAAATTTAGCTATGTGTAGTTTAAAAAAAACAGCTGAATCTTTTAGTTCTCCTTTGAGTGATGGTTCCTATTGTATTTCAGTGTGGGTTTACTGTTGGTCTGCAGATATGCCCTGGCTTACCTTGTACCTCCGTCTGAGGGGATAAAAAGCTAGACAAAACGACTCTCTCTCCAGTTCCTTCTCACTGCTGCATGGGTTGGGTCGGAACTTCCAGTTGTCCATAGCTTTGGCTTCATCTTACAAAATGAGATTTAGATTTGGTTTTGTAAATAGTTTTAACATCTTGTACAGTTTTTACAGATTACAATTTAGTATTTTATAGATCTCTTAGAGTTTAGATTTAGTGTTTTGGGGAGACACCCCTCTTCCCCACCATACCCCCTTCAAGTACCAGCCTATGCCCAGGACTCCGTGCTTCAAACTGTGCTTCCTGCCCACAATCCTCCTCAGTCAGTGACGACCACCAGCGCTGCCTATCCTGCCTTGGGAAAGCCCACGTCACAGCAAGATGGAGTATCTGCCAATTATTCCCCAGCCATATCCAAGAAAAGCAGGAACTTTGTCTCCAGAAATACCTCATGGAGAAAGTCATGAGGCCTCAATTGGACCCAGGCCAGGGACAGCCTTCCCCCCATACATCAGCCTGATTCAGCAAGGAGTGTGCCTCCTGCTGTGAAGTCTGACTCTGGTGCGGGAGAACCTGCCCCCACAGACTCCCTAGTGGGATCTTGTTAGGAATCCAGGAAACACTCTCATAAGCATGAGACTAATTCTTCCTCTAAATCCACTTCAAAGAAGTTGGATTCAGCTCTGAGCAAGCCCATCAGCTAAGCCCCTGAAGACTTAGTACATCCTAAGTCTCAGAAGCGTGACAAGAAAGCCCATAAGCATTGGGCCACATCAGTAATGGACCGCGATACATTGGTACCATCATTGTCGGCACCTCCCAAACCCTGGGATCTGCCAGCACCAACAAAGACCAATCATCATGAGTTTCACCTATCCACAGCACTTTCTGCCTTGGTAGCTACACAGTCTACTCCAACTCCAATGGCTTGAACAAGTAGAATCCCTTTCACACCAAGGAGATCTGAATCTGTTGCCACTCCACAGGACATTTTCACTCTCCCAGATCCAGAATTTCCTCCTTCATTGGGCCCCTCCATCTCAAGAGAGAGAATACCACTAAGAGAATCTGCTGCTGGAAGGAGTTTGTCACCCATCCCATGCACAGAATATAACTCTCTTCCAGCGGTACTGAGTGTACCACCACTGGAACCGAAATTGGCCTTCTCTTCATCGGGAGATTTTGAACCACCCAATGAACTTCCCCGCCCCCCCCATCCTATGTATCCTCCACTGCCTGAAAGACCTGCACCTGTTTGGGACCAATCTCCATCTCTTCTAACTCAGAGCCATTGATACACCATGAAGTGGGGACCTCCATGACCACTATTGATCTGTCCTACTAGCCATATTGGGGGCCTTGGGATCAGTTGTCCCCTGCAGAGTTGGTCCAGTCTACTGGGGGGGGTCACCCCTTGCTTCCCCTCTAAGATATGCTCAGTTCAGTCCTTGGATCCTACAGAGGAGGATTACTCGCCAGATCAGGCAGTTCTGCCAGAACCAGTAAGATTACAATGCTTATCTCCAGACAAAGTGGTGACCCCTACATCTCCTTCTTGCCTTGATGACTGCAGCCAGTTCCAGGACCACCTTTGCAGAGTTCCTGGAGAACTACAGATTCCTCTTGAAGAGGTCCACAACTCCCAGCACAAACTCTTAGACATCCTCCACTCATCCGGATCCAACAGAATAGCTCTCCATGTTAATGAAGCCATGCTGGAGTCAGCTAAGACAGTTTGTCATGCCCCTGCCACCTGCACTCCCACCCCCAAGAGGGCAGAGAAGTGTTGTGTCAGCAAAAGGGTTGGAATTTTTGTTTTCTCACCCCACTCCCAACTCACTGGTGGTCCAGGTTGCTTCTGAAAGGCCCGGACAGCAACATCCCCGGTCTCCTCTTACGGATAAAGATTGGAAACACCTGGATCTATTGGGAAGAAAGGTCTTTTCATCATCTAGCCACCAGTTCAGGTTAATCAATTACCAGGCACTAATGGCTAAATACAACTTCCTGAAGTATACTAAGTGTGCGGAGTTTACTGACAGCCTTGTGCAACAGGACAGAGCTCATTTCCAAGCTCCGATAGATAAAGACAAACTGATAGCCAAGACTTCTCTCCAATCCACAGTCAATGCCACTGATATCTTCTCTAGAGCTATGGCTGCTGCCATTGTTATGCACAAGGAATCATGGTTCCATGCATCAAAGTTCCCTAGGGAGGTCCAGAATACTATCAAGGACCTCCCAGTCAATGAATTGCAGCTCTTCAACCAAAAGATGGGCATGTTCCTCCATATCCTCAAGGACTCTAGAGTTACCCTCTGCTCACTGGGGATATATATGCCTGCCTCTAAGAGGAAGTTTCACCACCCATCATTTAGACCTAGAGACATGACTCAGCTCTTTTTCCGCCAGAGGCCCTGTGAACCACCACACAACAGACAGAGTTCAAAAGATCCGCATTCGCATACCCTCTGCGACACGCTATGCACCTCAATCTCACCTTCCCGGCGCGACATTATTTTTGATGGGAGCTTGAGAGTCACGAACCACTAAGCCCAACACCTCTCAACCCCCACACACCTTTTGGGGGTTATCTAGCACTCTTTTTCAACACCTGGAGTGCAACAACAACAGACGAGTGAGTGCTGAACGTAATTCACTCTGGCTATATGATGATTTGCGTCCCTACCTCCACCAAAACCTCTCCACCCCACTTTGAGGGCCACTCTCATGAGAGTATTCTCAAACAAGAAGTGGACTCCTTATTAGAGCAAGAAGTGATAGAACACATTCCTCCTCAATACCATGCACGTTTTAATCTACTTACTTCCTGTTACTCAAAATGAAGGGCAGTTGGAGGCCAATCCTTGACCTCCACCATCTCAACTTCTTCATTCACAAACTCAGATTTCACATGGTCACGTTGGCATCTATAAGCCCATCTTTAAAAAAGGGCATGTGGTTTATGGCTCTCAACATGAAGAACGCCTACTTTCATGTAGACATTCATCCTGCTCACAGTTGTTTCTTCAGATTTATGGTGGACTCGGACCATTTTCAGTATAGAGTACTCCTTTTTGGCATACCAATTGCCCCCAAAGCCTTTACCAAGGTATTCTCAGTAGTAACAGCTCATGTCAGACATCGCAGTCTCATTGTCTTCCCCTACCTCAATGACCAGATCCTTGTCACCAGGTCTCTCCAGGAAGTCTATGTATCAACTTCTGTGGTGCTGCTCCTCCTTTCTTCACTGGGAATCAGGGAAAATGCTGAAAAATCTGTTCTCACCCACAGACAATCTCTGGATTTCATTGGGGCCACCTTGAATTCTATTAGTGCGAGAACATACTTGCCCAAGAGCAGGTTCCAGACCATGAACAATATCATAACTCAGATCACAAACAACCCTTGAGTACCAGTCAAGACATGTCTGTCTCTTTTAAATCATATGGCCTCATGCACTTACATCATCCCATTCACAAAACTCCGCCTCCATTGTCTTCAAATGTGGCTGCAGTCAGTTTACTCTCCGAACTGCCATTCTATGAACCTCATGGTAACAATTCCCACCATGGTAGTATCTTCCCTGCTATAGTGGACAAATCCTCATCAGGTATATGTGGGTGTCCCCTTTCTTCTTTCCTCACCAGACAGGACCAATATTACAGATACATCACTGTTTGGTTGGGGAGCCCACATGAACAGCTGAACAGCACAAGGTACCTGGATATCTCAAAGTCCAGGATGCACATCCGTATCAAGGCCTTTCTTCCATTCATCCATGCTCACAGTGTCTTATAATGTCAGACGTTATGACTGTCTTCTACATCAACAAGTAGAGAGGAGTGAGATCCATCTCCCTGTGTACGGAAGCGGTCAGCTTGTGGAGCTGGTGAGTGAGCAATTGAATCACCTATTAGCAGCCTACCTTCCGGGGAAGAAAAATATGCTTGCAGGCTCCATCACAGACATTTTGCAGTCAACCATGAGTGGGAGCGCCAGGACTCGGTACTGCACAATATTTTCACTCTATGGGGAACCCTAACCAGGGATCTGTTCACCTTTCAGATGAAGAGAAAATGCATAACATGTAGCTCCAGAAGAGGCCAAGGTCACCACCCCCAGGGTGATGCTCTACTTCTTTCCTGGTCGGACTAGTTTAACTATGCCTTCCCTCCACTACAGCTCCTGCCATGACCGCTACACAACTCTGGCAGCACAAGGCCTGGGTCATCCTGATTGCCCCTACTGGCTCAGACAGTTTTGGTGTCCCGACCTCCTATGTATGGCATCCCGACTACCAGTCATTCGCCCAATGTTTCCCGAGCTCCTGACTCAGTGGAACAATAGGATCAAGCACCCCGGTCCGCATTCGCTCCACCTCTCAGGGCTTGATATTTGGATGGATGTTATCCTTAGAACGTTCATGCTTCACAGCTGTGTGAGACATCCTTTCTGATAGTAGGAAGGACTCTGCTAGAAGTTGTTACCTTGCTAAATGGAAGCACTTTTCTTCTTGGAACATCAAAATAGCATTCTCCTAGAAACTGCAGATATTCCTCTCATCTTGGATTATAGCCTCTCTCTGAAGATATCAGGCCTGTACATTAGCTCCTTGCAAGTCCACTTGGCTGCGGTCGGTGCATACCATCCACCTTCTCAGGGCTACTCGATCTTCACACATCCAGTGACCACCAGATTCTGGAAATGCCTAATCAGAACCTTCCCACCTGTTCAGAAGCCTGCTCCCCAGCCTAACCTGAACCTTATTCTCTCAGTACTTATAAGACCCCCCCTTTGAATCTTTAGCGTTTTGCTTCATGTCTTTCCTTTCCATGAAGGTCACTTTCCCCATAGCCATTCCCTCAGCTAGAAGGGTTGGCGAGCTTGGATCGGTGGTGGCAGATCCTCTTTACACTATATTCCATAAGGATAAGGATTCTTTGCGTCTATACCCCAAATTCACCCCAAAAGTAGTTTTAGAATTCACCTTAACCAATCGATTCACTTACCTGTGTTCTTCCCAAAACTGCACGCTTCCTCAGAGGAATGAAGACTCCATTCCCTCAATATTTGGTGGGCCTTGGCCTTTTATCTGCAAAGAACAAAACCAATCAGGAAGTCCCTGAGACTATTCATCGCTATAACAGAAAGAATCATGGGGCATGCCATTGCCACTCGGAGAATCTCCAAATGGATCTCTGGCTGCATTCTACTCTGCTATCCGCTGTCCCAGGGGATAAGAGCTCATTTCACAAGAGCACAAGCGACAACTATGGCATCACTTCAGGAGGTGCCTCTCCTTGATATCTGTAAAGCAGTCATGTGGAGCTTTGTTCACATGTTTGCAAGACATTATGCCTTGGTGCAGGACTCCTCTGCTGATGCCTCCTTTGGGGAGCAGTCCTCCACTCATTTCTACCATCTAGACACTAAAAATCATGGACTGAATGGAGACACTGGATTTATGGCCAGTCCATGATTTTTAGTGTCTAGCAGACTTGTGAATTTAAGCTCCCAGGCTCATTGTTTGAAAGTGTTTGTGCAGATTTCCTTTAAGGATAACGACTAATAGGTCAGATACAGAAAGATCACTTTGTAAAAAGTGTTCACCCACAGGGTGAACAGAGACACTGGATTTATGGCTTATTACAACAATCTGTAACCTACCTCACACTTATCCTTGTCATTGAGTCATATCAGCTGATTATTATTATTATTATTATTATTATTATTTATTTATTTATTTATTTATTTATTGTGGCACCCTTGGACCCAGTCATGGATCAGGGTCTCTTTGTGCCAGATGCTGCTCACATACATAACAAAAAAGAAGATCCCTGCTCTGAAGAGCTTACAGTCTAAGACAAGATACAACAGACTGGGGGAGCAAAAGGTAACAATGAGACCAAACCAAACAGCATGAAAAGCAGTGGTCACAGCATACTGGTTGTCTAACTATTATCAAGATTTTTGTAGAGCGCTTGGCAGAGGAGAGCTGTAAGAAGGGATTTAAAGGAGGACAAAGAAGTGGCTTTGGGAATGTGGATATGGAGTAGCATCTGAGAAAACGCAAAGTTAATATTAAAAACTACTGTTTTTGTTCAGTCTGCCAACAAAAAAAAAGTTAATATAATGGTTTAGGGCACGGTTTTACTAGAGCATACCATTTTGTTTAATGGAGAGCAGGTTAAAATTCTAAGAAACTTCTGCAGACTTGTAACAGAGACAACACTGAAAGCAAAGATGCTCAAATTCATACATTGTGTTGTCTGTTTTTGTTTTTCAGTCTGTTTTCACGTGTTATGAATACAGGTTCACAGTTTGTGATGGAAGGAGTGAAGAATTTGGTATTGAAACAACAAGTGAGTTTAAGAATGGGAAAACAAATGATATTTTTAAACTTCTTTGATGGCACATTTCAGACAAACATTTTGCCATAGTTTATCCATGTAATACATTTTATTAAAATGAATGGTGCTAAGGATGCAACAAAATTAAGCATAACAGTCCTTCTCTAAGATTCCATATACATATAGTATAAATACATTTGTTTTTTATATTTGGATTGTAGCTTTTAATTTGTAAACAAATTATTTTTCACTGTTGAGAAGCTTATTGTCCATGAATAATATCCTAAATTATCCCCATGAGGCCCTATGCTCAAGGGGCATTTGCTCCCAAAAAGTGTAATAAATGTCTTAGGTCCACCCTCTGCAAACTAATTTCAACACCGTGAAAGGAGTAAATATGCATCTTTAGGTATTTTTTAATAAATACCCATAACCTGCATAAACACAGAATATGTGGATATGTACTGTTTTTCCTTAGATTATCTCATATTTTGTCATCGGCAGTAACCATTGCAAAATTATTGAAAGTCTAATACTATATTGATCCTTCTGTTCAATCACATATCAGGCACTTCTAATTTAGCTCATCTAAAATATAAAACAACCTCAGCCTTGAAGAACTGTAGCATGGAAAAGAGTAACAAGTCTAATAATAATACCTAGGTCTTATATAGCACTTTTCAACAGTAGATCTCAAAGCACTTTATAAAGGAGGTCAAATATCATTATCCACATTTTACAAATGGAGAAACGGAGTCACTCAGAGATGAAGTGATTTGTCCAAGGTCACCCAACAGACCAGCAGCTGAACTGGAAATAGAAGTCAGGTTGCCTCAGTGCCAGTCTAGTGTGCTATCGACTAGGCCACACTGCCTTCTCTTATAACATTTAGCTTCACTTAAGAAAAATATTTTATGGTATAACTCACTTGTGACTCTGCCAATCATGAGTTGTCTCAAAAATATCATAACTGCTTTATACAGTTTATATGTAAATTCACTCTTGTGGCTGAAGTCTTAAACTCAAGTTATGGTTATCACAAGTTAAGTCAACTCCTGGGTGGATTTAGATGGGCTAAATTGTTATAGAAAACATTCATTTGAATTTCCTGAACATTGTATGATGAAAATGTTGCAGTAATACCATTAAAATGATGGGCCATAGAAGAATGAATGGAATAAACAGATTTTAATAACAATAAATTAGAAATTCAATGTATGTTTTAAATAGCTTTGGTTCTGCAACCTAAGAACTAAATAAAATTAAAACTTCCCCCCCCCCCCCCCCCACAGAAGATCTTGGTAAAGGCTGATCTAGTAGCTGAGTAAAAAGCAAAAAAAATCAATTTGATTTTTATTCTGATCTTGAGTATTTTTCATACTGTTGCCCTATGATCAGAATACCTTTTGTGCATCAAAAATATCAACTGTCGCACAAAACTTTTTAACTGGTTTCCATAGCTTTTATAAGACACTTTGTGAGGCTAATTCTGCAGAAATGTGTTGTGAATAAGTTATGCATTAGATTATACAGTTAGGATCAGTAAGACATAATGAAATATTTATAATTAAGAAAATAATTTAAAAGTGCTGCTTTTACATTGTTTGCCAAAGACCTCTTTAAAACATTTATTTCTTGCAACAATGTCTAATAGTGATATTCTATATGAAACCCACTGTGACTGACTGTTAAGGGAAATTACACATACCTAGCTTTAAAACCTAATAGCTTTGTTGACAACAAGTTGAAACAGAACTTACTGTCTGACTTTTTTGTTTTGGAGATTCATTGCCTGATTGAAAAGCTGTAAAAATGCAGGTTTATAAGGTTTCTGATCTGGCTTTTAACTTTTGTGCCCAGTAGTGTATATATTAAGACTTAAGACTCCTTGGGATAGTCAAATAAGATGCCTTTTTGCCTGATATTTAAGCATGCTGCAGGGGGTTTTTTTGTGTTGGGCGTTTGTTTTAATGTTAGCCTTTTTTTTTTTTCCCCCTTGGGCAGCACTCAGAGATTTATATTCTTTTTTGCTCAACCTTTTTTTCAATTTAATTTATATCTAACTTATACCTTGGAATTTCCTTTTTTGATATATATTCTTTCAGCAAGACATTGTCAAGTCATTGTCTAAATTCTCCCTGAGTTTATTGTAAGTCTTGCTCAGGCCCTCATCCTGATTACTGCAACCACTTCTCCCTTACAACCACATCACTATCCTCCAGTCTACCCAAACAAGGTTGCTAAGATCGTCTTCCTTGTCTATCACTTGGGCAACATTCCTTCCTTTTTAGAATTCCACAACTGGCTTTCATTCTTCCACCAGATCAAATTCATGCTTCTTGTCCTAACCTTCAAGACATTCTATTCTGTTTAGGTTCTTATATCCTGCTCTTCATAATTGTATCTGCATACCCTTCAATTCTGCCCCATACTTTTCCATTCCTGTTTTTGTATTATGCTTCCTTCTGATACCCCAATTTCTTGCTCCATCAGTGATGCCAGCTGTGTCTGCACCTCCCACAAACATCCATATACCCCTTTTTCCTGGGAAGCTCCATGATATAATTTATACAGCTGCTTACCATATACTCTTTCAAATCCCTCATTTCTGCTGTGATGTCCAGTTATAGCTAGGCAGGTGATAAGCTGTGACTGTCCCTCTTCCTTTTCCTGCTCCCTTACTCCTACTAACTTCCCCATTCTTGCCATTCACTCCACCTCCACTTCCAATTTAAAAAATTGAAAAGTGAAATAAAAACAACAAAACATAACTAACGAAGCTATGCCAATTCATCAACATACACGTGTGTGTTTTGGGTGCAGTGGGGATTGGACATTACCATAATATAAACGTTTACTAATAATTATCACCATCACCCTTGAACTAACCTGTAAGGCTACTGTCCTTTCTTCCCTCAGTTCTCTACTCAAGACCTATTTCTGCCACAACACATACAAGAAATCTGCCACTTGGAATGACTAGGACCAGGGGCAATTGGTGAAAGTTGATATTTAAATAATTCTAAAACAAAAAAAAGTAAAATAATAAATGTGTGTGTGTTTTTAATCTCTAGCTGCTATCACCATAGATTGTGTATATTTGCCTCCCTTTCTCCCAAGATTAATATGCTACTTGCTTTCTTAGATTGCAAGTTCTTCAGAGCAGGCCGTCATGTCTATCTTCGTTTGCACTGTGCCTGGCACTTGAGTTTGACCACAACTTCTGGATGCTACTGGATTATAAATATTAAATAATAACAAGAAGCCCACTTTTACTTATGGTGTTCAAGATAAGATTATGGGCTCTGTAAACCTGCTAAAAAGTAAAATACAAGATTTAACTCATCAGTACTATTCATTGGTGAAAAATTAGCTTAATCACAAACAATTTAAGCACAACAAATGTAAATGTAATCAAATGTAAACATGAGTTTATAAAATTACCTCACTTAACAATTACTGTTAACTTTGCAGGCTGGCTAGTGTCATAAGCAGGAATTTAATTACAACTTTAGTGTTAACATCTTTGGTGCCAGTTAAATAACATTCAGCTAAAATAACAAACAAATTCACATAAGCTGCTTAATATTAGTAAGATTAATGTAAGGAAAGCGAATAAGTGTTTTGTTCTCAGACTTCTTTTATAGTGGGTACTTATACAAATTAATACTTCTGTTATGTTTCTAATTCATGTAAAACAAAGAATAACAGAAAATAATATAAACAAGAAATAATATCCATTCCTGTCATAACTGAATAAGACATACAAATGTTACCAATCATTTGACTTTTCTAGCTGTGTGCTTTTAAAACATAAATAAAATTATATGGTAATAGTTAATTTAACGTTTTGCTTGTTCCTGTCATCATTCATATCCATTCTTTTAAAAAGTCACTTTTACTGAAGTTATATTAGCGTAGTTAGGTTATTTTCTATTGGTTTAACCATTTTTTTTCTTTTTAATTTTAATACTTCTTCAAAACAAAAGTATCTGAAGAACTAGAAAACAATAATACTTTTGTAAATGCTAACTAGTAGCGTTCTATTTCATGGCAATATTGTATATCTTTGCCCCATTAAGGAATTTGAAATTTGTTCCATATACATTTCAACTTGCTGATTAGTAGTCAATTTTACATTTTTGATACTAGTTTTATATTTATCTCAAATTTAACTTCAAATATTTTACCTGAATCTCATAATGATGCATATATAATAAAAACAAACCAGGGTTAAAATTAAGAAAATGAGAAAAGGTTATACAAATAGAGAGGAACAGAAAGATTTGGTAAGGTGCTAAAAGCAAAAAAAAAAAAAAAAAAACCCTCAGAAAATCAGTGGCAGTGTTCCAGATATCAAGACCCCTGTTCTAACCACTTTATATTTCTTTTATCCCAAACATAGGTGCTCGAACAATTTTTATAGTGGGGGTACTGATAGCCATTGAACAAAATTGTAAACCCTGTATATGATGGAAACCACTTGAAGCCTAGTTCCAGAACCTATGATCCCAAACATTTCCCTCAGAGTTTGAGGAACTTGAGTGTTGTCAAACCATCTTATTTAAGTTACATCAAAATCAAACATTTTCATGTGAGTTATGCAGAATATATCTCCTCACAGAGAGACTACATCCTAAACCTCAATTTTAAGTCTTTTGCCTCTTTGTTTGTTTTATATCAGTATCATTATCAATCCATCCAACTCTGTTGGCTCTTTTTCTTTCTCCCTCAAACATTTTTCTACCATTCCTTCCTCATTCTAGTGGGGAAGCTATCCAGCTATTTATATGGCCCCCTTCATAGTTTTAATCATAGAATCATAGGACTGGAGAGGTCATCTAGTCCAGTCTCCTGCACTTATGGCAGTACTAAGTATTATCTAGACCATCCCTGACAGGTGTTTGTCTAACCTGTTCTTAAAAATCTCCAATGATGGAGATTCCACAATCTCCCTAGGCAATATATTCCAGTGCTTAACCACCCTGACAGGAAGTTTTTCCTAATATCCAACCTAAACCTCCCTTGCTGCTGTTTAAGTCCTTGCTTCTTGCCCTATCCTCAGAGGTTAAGAAGAACCATTTTTCTCCCTCCTCCTTGTAACAGCTTTTTATGTACTTGAAAACTGTTACGTTCCCTCTCAATCTTCTCTTTTCCAGACTAAACAAACCCAATTTTTTCAGTCTTCCCTCATAGGTCATGTTTTCTAGACCTTTAATAATTTTTGTTGCTCTTATCTGGACTTTCTCCAATTTGTCCACATCTTTCCTGAAATGTGGCGCCCAGAACTGGACACAATACTTCAGTTGAGGCCTAATTAGCGCGGAGTAGAGCAGAAGAATTACTTCTCGTGTCTTGCTTACAGCACTCCTGCTAATACATCCCAGAATGATGTTTGGGTTTTTTTTCAACAGTGTTACACTGTTGACTCTCATTTAGGATGTTGTCCACTATGATTCCCAGATCCCTTTCCGCAGTACTCCTTCCTAGGCAGTCATTTCCCATTTTGTATGAGTGCAACTGATTGTTCCTTCCTAAATGGAGTACTTTGCATTTGTCTTTATTGAATTTCATCCTATTTACTTCAGATCATTTTGAATTATAATCCTATCCTCCAAAGCACTTGCCACCACTCCCAGCTTGGTATCATCCACAGACTTTATAGGTGTACTTTCTATGCCATTATCTAAATCATTGATGAAGATGTTGAACAGAACTGGCCCCAGAACTGATCCCTGCGGGACCCCACTCGTTATGCCCTTGAACCACTACTCTCTAGGAATGGTTTTCCAACCAGTTATGCACCTACCCTATAGTAGCTCCATCTAGGTTGCATTTCCCTAGTTTGTTTATGAGAAGGTCATGTGAGACAGTATCAAAAGCTTTACTAAAGCCAAGATATACCACATCTACCGCTTCCCCCTTATCCACAAGGATTGTTACCTGTCAAAGAAAGCTATCAGGTTGGTTTGACATGATTAATTCTTGACAAATCCATGCTGACTATTACTACTTATCTTATTATCTTCTAGATGTTTGCAAATTGATTGCTTAATTATTTTCTCCAGTATCTTTCTGGGTACAGAAGTTAAGCTGACTGGTCTGTAATTCTCCGAATTGTCCTTATTTCCCTTTTTATAGATTGGCACTATATTTGCCCTTTTCCAGTCTTCTGGGATTTCTCCCGTCTTCCATGATATTTCAAAGATAATCACTAATGGCTCAGATATCTCCTCGGTCAGCTCCTTGAGTATTCTAGGATGCATTTCATCAGGCACTGGTGACTTGAAAAATCTAATTTGTCTAAGTAATTTTTAACTTGTTCTTTCCCTATTTTAACCTCTGATCCTACCTCATTTTCCCTGGTATTTACTATGTTACACATCCAATCACCACCAGCCTTCTTGGTGAAAACCAAAACAAAGAAGTCGTTAAGCACCTAATGTATTTATCCTCACAACTTCCCTGTGAGTTAGGGAAGTGCTATTATCCCCATTTTCTGGATGAGGAAGTGAGGCACAGAGAAGCTAAGTGACACACAGCATCACACAGGAGTCTCTAGTGGAGCAGGGAATTGAATCCAGGTTTTCAAAGTCCTAAGCTAGTACCCTAACCACTGGACTGTCCTTCCTCTCTGACCTTCCTTCTCTCAGCAGATCTCTAAAGGGAATTATTGCCTCTCTTCCAGCACAATATCTTTGGATGCATTTAGTTTAGTTTTTCACCCTTTGACGGTACAAGGCTACAATTTTTGTGCTTGTTTTACCATATTCCTAGCCTTAGATTACCATGTTTTAATCTTGGTTTGGTTTTATGTTGTTGTTCAATTATAGAGCAAGCATCTAGCATCTCCAGATTTCCCATCTCCTACTTAAAATCTTAACACTTTGTTCACATCTTTTTCATGCCTTCAGATCGGTGGTTCTCCAAATTTTGAGGTTCATGACCAAAAATGGCTTAAAACAATCTGGAAAGGACCTTGTTGCTATCTTTAACCTTGAGACTCACTGTTTTCCTGATGCTATAACATTGTAGTGGTGAATGCTCTCAAACTGCATTCTATTTAGTTTAAAGAAAAAATCTTTTGTCCAGTGTTTCTAGCTCCTTGTCACTTGCTCCTGGCCTTCTCATTGCCTCTTCTATTTCATTTGTTATGCCTCAGTTTTATGGATTAGTGAGCAGAATACAGATGAGGCAATCAAAATTGTATGATAAAGTGCAGAACCATGTGGTACATTTTATATGGCACATGTACATTGGCACCTGTATGTGGTGTGTTTATGGCAAATTTAGCAATACAGAAAGTAAGTACAGCTAAAACTTGAATTATAAGGCATCTTTAATATCGAATGGATAAAGATCAAAGATTTCACTGAGAATCCCATCCTACATTGTTGAATTGGCTTTTAATTTGGGTATATTATACTGTAATAATGATTAAAAAAAAAAAAACAACCCTCTGGCTTTCACCGAGAGCTTTACACTTGATACGGTAAAGACAATGAAGCAGTATAGAGTAATGGTAAAAAGTTCAGTAGATTGCTTTTTTTTATAAATGAGTTAGATAAAAAAGATTAATATTTGAATAAACACACACAGCTCATTATGTATTGCACTGATATTGAAATAGAATTAGGACCAAAGATAATGGTCTATCAAGAGAATTTGGAAGATCTTATTTTGCAGGATGAGATTTAAATCCTTTTTTAGCTAATCCCAGGCAAGTAGAATTAAAGCTACTCAGTTGAGTTTCTGCTCCAGGCTTATATTTGTGTTGGCCATTAGAAAAGAACTTTGTAAATACACTTGGATATCAGATCCTTCAGCTGGCTGAACACATTTCCTGAAATTCAACTAGTTTGGCCTACAGGAGAAGCTCAACAGCAGCACACATTACATAAAAGTATTAACCATTTATTGTATCATCATTGTCTTCACTTGCTTGTTATATCTTCTGCCAGTGTTGCAAATGTACATGGAACTTCTGTTTGCTCTGTATACGGAGAACATCTGTGGCATGAATGATGAAAGAACCTGATATTAACAAATAAATGTCTTTCATAAACTTGATAGTATATTTTGTTAACTTTTGTAATTCCTAACAGAAGATGTTGGCCTTTTCCTTGTCCCACGGCTATCCTATCCCCCACTCTTGTACTCCTTTCGGCACCTATGGACATTGGGCACCCCCAGGGAGAAGCAGACCGGGGGCACCAACAGGGTGGGAGGACTGGATGCAGGCTTTTGGTGCTTCCTGGGGCAACAGAGATCTAGAAGGAGGGTAGGGTCTGGGCTCCCAGAACTGCCTGGCCCCTAGTGGGTATGGTGCTCTTCAACCTGACCACCTGTCTGGATAAGAGCTTGGGGCTGGGTACTGGGTAATGTGTGGGGAAGAGTGAGAGGCATCAGGAGGGGAATATGTGTGGAGCTGGGTGCAGTGGGGAGAGCACAGTTCTGGTTGCAGAGGCAGCATGAGAGAGTTCAGGCCTGGGTATGGGGAAGTGGTGGGGGAGAGCTCAGGGCTGAGTGCAGGTGCAGTAGAGGGAGAGCTCTGGGCCCCCCCCCCTCAGGAAAATTCTGGTTGCACCAGATTGGAGGTGGTTGTTGCCATCCTCGACCCTCATATCAGTCTTTAGGGACTGTTACAAGCCAAAATAATCTAGGACTGCCCTAAACAGTGCAGTGGATAGAACAGGTCCTAGGATCCAGAAGTTGCAAATGGCTCCTTTGTGGCTCCTGCCTCAGCTTACTGAGTGCAGCTAAGGATTCAGCCACAATCTTTGGGAAAAAAAGAATTGCTGTATATCTAGAGAAGCAAACTGCGGATTTTTGAAACAAATCAAGTTTTTAAAGCATGTCCTTGCCTGCTTAAAAACTGCTAAATAAGACCAAGCTCGCTAGGCCTATGGTATGGCAAACAATTTCAAGAATGTGGTACATGAACTTGTATAATTCTTATGATTTGAGTGGTGAGGGTTGTGAAATACATTGAAATTTAAATCTGTTGTTTGCTGGTGGCAGCTGCTTGTTTGACCAAGGAAGAATAGCAAAAGAAAGGGAAGGAGCATGTTTCTCAAATGTAGTCTGCTCTAGGAGGTGCACTGTGTTCTTCTGTGGAGATTTTACTCTAGTTCGTCATTGTTTCAGTTTATTTTAATCTAAAATAAGTCATTTATACTGCAAGTATATGGTTACTCTTTAAAAAGCAATTTTACCTACCCCTTTTAAAAAATCATTGGTATTTATTTGAGTTACTTTAAAATTTCTGGACCTATTAACTATTCTATACATAAAATAACCTAGAACAGTTATTTTTCTCTACAGAACATTACAGTAAAGCAGCTCAAAGTAAGAGATTTGAGTGTGCTGTAAATTACAAAATTCAACTTTCCGTATAATATAGTTGGGCTGCAGAACAGCTTCTGCATATTTCTTAGTAAACATTTTTGCAACTCACCAGTTTCAAATTCTCTTCCACAGAATCTACCAGTCACACGTATCCTAGACAACCTTATAGAGATGAAGTCAAATCCTGTGAGTATAATTATATTCATTTTAGGCACAGAGAAATGGAAAACCAGATCTTTTCAATTGTGATACACATAATATTGCTGCCACACAGTGTTGTTAATGTAGTAGCAATTAATTCTGGTCTCCCTGTATTTTGATTTAAACTATAACAACTTTCACAGTTATTGTATTGTGTATATATAGGAGTCGGGAGTCAAAAATAATTAGATCACATTACTAGCTTGTGATGTATTTAAAGATTGTATTACAATGCATCTTCACAAGGGAGCCAAATTAAGGTTTCACATTAACTTTAATTCTGGCATTTGCTAATTTTTGAGTGCTTGATTTTTGCAACCTTAATGTTATTTAACATAGTTTTTTGCATGTAATAGTATAACAAACTTTTTCCATTCATAGATCTAATTGTAACCATATCTTCAAATTTGGCAACTCCAGATTTCTATGTTGCGTTGGTAGCACAGGTGTCTGGATGCTGGGGCTAAAGCATCCCCAAATACACACACCGTTACAGGGAAAAGGAAGATGCAGGGGCCAGCTGGACAGGAGGAGGGGAGAGACAACGTTTTAACAAGGTGTAAGAGAAAAGCCAAAGTGCCAAATGGTTCACCACCTAACTCCCTTCATCCTTGAAAGAGAAAGTATATTCCCGTGGTTCTATTTCATTCCTTTCCTCTGATGGGGATTGAAATTCTTGACCTTTCCAAGTCCAAGAACAGTTTGCAGGTTAGTACTGCCTCTTTCCTGTTGGAATCCAGTCCAGGCCACCATAGCTTCCTGCCACCAGCAACCCCTTTCTTGATTGGCAGTGGGGATAATTGGAGAGTTAGGGGAAAAGAAGGCATGATGATGCAATAGACTGGAGGGAAAGGTTGCTAGAAGGAAGGAGGGGAAAACTAAAAGTAAAGATGGAGTGGTTAGAGAGAAGTAGAGAGAGAGTCTGAGAGATACTGAGTTAAAGAAACCAAGGCTAACAGTCAAACAAAAATGAAAGGAAGAAAGGGAAGGAGAAAAACATCGAACACATTCTGTACTGGAAAAAAATTAGAACAAACCCATATAGGACAATGTTCAAAGGGCAATGCAAGATTTACCTCTTTGCCTTGCTCTAACTAGAATGACTCTCGCTGGAGGAAGTATTTGCTTAAAAAATTCCATAATCTGGAATCTGCCATTATTGTATGTAACTAACTTGTGATAGTGTTGTGTGATTCAACTTCTAGGTTTTGTCAGCATGAGTTTGACAGAGCCCCATATTACTCACAAATGCTAATTGAACTTCTGTACCACACCATTCTACAGTAATTCCTCGTTTAACGTTGTAGTTATGTTCCTGAAAAATGTGACTTTAAGCTAAACAATGTTAAGCGTATCCAATTTCCCCATAAGAATTAATGTAAATGGGGGGGTTAGGTTCCAGGGAAATTTTTTTCACCAGATTAAAGACTATATTATATAAATACATACATACACACACACACACACACACACACACACACACACACACACACACACACACACAATCTCTCTCTCTCTCTGTTTTAAACAAACAATTTAATACTGGTACACAGCAATGATGATTGTGAAGCTTGGTTGAGGTGGTGAAGTCAGAGGGTGGGATATTTCCTAGGGAATGCCTTACTGCTAAACGATGAACTAGCAATTGGCTGAACCCTCAAGGGTTAACTCGTTGTTGTAGCCTCACACTCAACAAGGCAGCACAAATGGAGGGAGGGAAGACAGCATGGCATACAGAGACAGAGACACACACCGTGTATGTGAGAGAGAGATGCGCATTGCTCCTTTAAGTACGCTGACCCTACTCTAAGTACACTGCCTTTTTAAGTAGATCAGCAAGCTGAAACAGTAGCTGCTGCCAGGAAGCTCCCTCTGTCCTGAGCCCTGTTGTGTGTCCCCCCTGCTCTAGGGAAATGGGGTAAGTGGGTGCAGGGGGGAGGGGGACACCCTGACATTAGCCCCCTACCCCCTGCACAGCAAGCAGGAGGCTCCGGGGAGCAGCTCCAAGGCAGAGGGCAGAAGCAGTAGGGGGAGGTACAGCTGAACTGCCAGCAATTGATAGACTGCTGGGCAGCTGCTGCACAGGGAACTTAGGGGAACGGGGAGCTGATAGGGGAGCTACCGTTCCACACTGGATCCAAGCCCCCACCAGCTAGCTGCAATGGGCTGCTCTTCCTGCAAGCAGTGGACAAAGCAGGCAGCTGCCAAACGACGTTATAAGGGAGCATTGCACAACTTTAAATGAGCATGTTCTCTAATTGATCAGCAACAGAACAGCAAAACAATGTTAACCGGGACGACTTTAAGTGAGGCGTTACTGTATTCTATATATAGACATGTTTTTACAGGCAACTACTTTAGGAAATTTTAGTGTTTTCAAAAATTATTTGTATTTCTTCTACTTTTTCTCTACCTATAATCCAGGTGGGATTTTATACAGAAAAAGAGCAATATACAGATATACAAATGTAATATCTCTCAAAAAACATTGTTCAAGCTGATGAGGAGATGAGGGGGATTTCCTTGCCTGTGATAGACTTCATCTCCTCTGGATGTTGCTAAATCATCCTATCTAAGGATCATCTGAGCAAATTTTTGTAAATTGAATGCACCAGATTCCCCAAACAACCGTGTGCTTTAAAAAATACAATGTAGACTATTGCTACACCCTTTGCAGGAACTTTATCCCCCTTTACTAGTTAGTTGATGCTTTTTGGGATGCTCAGAACTGGGCCACTTGCGCCCACCATTTAGGGTGACCAGATGTCCCGATTTTATAAGGACAGTCCTGATTTTGGGGGCTTTTTCTTATATAGGCACCTGTTACCTCCCATCCCGTCCCAATTTTTTACACTTGCTATCTGGTCACCCTACCACAATTCCATCTCCACCTCTTGCACAGAGGGGTGAGCTGGGCAAACCCAGGAAAACATCATCATTTTCCTTTTCTGCAGCCCTTCCCCACACCTAAATATCAGTTATGTGGGGATGTGCAGGGAAATAACTAAAACAAGTGCCAAGAAATAATTGAACATACAAACTAGCCTATTGTAAATGTAATTGACTGCTAAATCACAAACAATAAAAACAAATTCTTTGGATAAACACAGTCAATGAATGAAGCCAAAAAAGGAGGTTGTGTGTCAGGAAAAGTATAGGTGACCTTGTAGTAACTTCTAAAGGCACGATGCTGCATAGAATATTTCTATAATATACCAGTAGGTGTCACTCAGAGCATTAAAGTGGAGAACCTAAATTAAGAAAGAAGGCTCACAGACAAGTGAGGGAAAATGGAAAGTTTTGAATAAATATTCAGCTTCCTCAGTCTACAAGTTTAAAAACTGGTCTGGAAAAGATCACATTTCATATACTTTATTTTTGCTGGCTTAGTATTCTCACATTGTACTGTCATGGAGAATAGCCAAGATCACTTAGATAATTTCAGGGTATAGTTTGACCTTCTCACTAGGTCATATTAAGACATCAGGATTATTGATTCAATCCCTACTATTATAGTGGAGATTTACAACATAAGCTGCTGCCATGTTGAAGACTAGGGTTCAGGGCCAAAATCAGGAATCCCATTGTCCAAGCCAATGGAGACGAGGCAAGCCCCAAAGAGCAACCCTTTTAACCTCTATGTGAAAGGCTGCCACTAGTTTGCTGAACAAGTACTCCCTTTGGGCTGATTAAAAGAGAAGCATGAAGTAGCCTTTGGGAGATTTCATGTATTAGGGCTTGCAATAGGAGCAGCAATTGTAGAAAAGTAAAACTGTATCTGTAAGGAAAAATGAATGACACTAGTGTGGCCTTTGTTCATGTTCTAATGTATAGGGTCCTTCCCATCCCCAAAACAGGCAAAAATAGCCACTTGGCCTACTGGCAAAAGATAAGATACAGAAAAGAAAGCTAAAAAGCTGATTTTTTTCCATAGAACTTGAGGAAATCTCCATTTAATAGATTGGACTCTTACCTGCTAGGTCCTGTAGTAGATGTGTGAAACGCATATAGATATAAATGTCTGTCTTGCATAGAAACTAGATAAAATACTACCTACATAAAAATGATACATTAATCATTGCAAATTATATAGCTACATTCAAATCACATGCTAAATATAAAATGCTACATTAAAGTAATGTGAAATGTAAAAGCTTTTCTACTACTAGTGGCCACAAATGTTACTTTGTCAATTGTAATTTAAAATTATTCTGGAATACATTTCATTGTGCCGTGTTTTTTTACTATGTGGACTTTCAGAACTCTGCCGAGCAAAACAGATATAGAGTTCTCTTAAATCCGCCTCAATATAGGATTGTGTGTTTCTCAAATACTCTCCTCCCTGCTGCTTGTCCTCTCCCAAAGGGACAGCTACCAGGAAGGAGAAATGAGCCCCATACCTATGGTTTCTGATCCTTTCAACGGAAACAGGAACTGAAGAACAGTTCTTAGGGGCAGTTAACACTACCCTCTAATGTTTTTAACTTATGCATGGGTTGGTTGACTATAATGGGACTTTATTCTTAGAATATTTTAACACATTAGTTCAGTAACTTGGTTTGTTGATGACCTTAGAGTGATCTGTTCTGTTGTCTTGGGTCTTAACATTTGTTTGATCAAAATAGGGTTTAAAATACTTTTCCTTTCTTTTCAGAAGTGTCATATTTCCTAGATCAGTGGTTTGCAAACTTTTTTTCTGGTGACCCAGTTGAAGAAAATTATTGATGCCCATGACCCAATGGAGCTGGGGCAGAGGGGTTTGGTATGTGGGAGGGGCTCAGGGCTAGGGCAGAGAGTTGGAGTACGGGGGTGAGGGCTGCCAGATGAGGCCAGGAATGAGGGGTTCAGAGTGTGGGAGGGGGCTCTGGGCTGGGGCAGGGGCTTGGGGTGCGGGAGGGTGTCAGGGCTTTGGGCTGGGAGTGCAGGCTCTGGAGTGGGGCCAGGGTTGAGGAGCTTGGGTTGCAAGAAGGGGTTCTGGGTTTGGG